CCCTGATCTTATTTTCACCCTATCCCAGGCATCCGAGCTGGCGGAGCGAGGAGAACCAGGAGCGATCCCGGACAGGCAGCGAATCCTCCCAGAGTGGCCCTGTGGGACCCCCGGGAACATCCACGGGCTCTGGCCCCACTGGCCGGAGTGAGTCGGGATCCGGGGTGGCCAGAGAATCCCAGCCCAGGGTGTCTGGCAGCTCCCACACGGATTTGTTTCCCCTCAGCCACACGGAGGAGGGAGAGCGAGAAATCCCTGGAAAATGAGCCCCTAGGAAAAGAAGAGGAGCCACCCTCACCACCCCCCAAATCCCGGGAGGAGAAGCCAAAGGTGATGCCGGCACCACCTCCCAAGGAAAATGCCTGGATGAAGCGGAGCAGCCAGAACCCCCCTGGCAATTCCCAGAGCTCCGACTCAGAGCAGCCCTGCCTGACCAGGTGGGTGGCCCAGGAAGGAGCGGCCTGGAGGGGGCTTTTCCAGCCCAAAGCATTCCATAGATCCCTGGTTTTCCCTAGTGGAGGACTCCATGGACTGGGAGAAGGGGACCCTGACATTCCCAGGGATGATCTGTAGTGCATCCCAACATTTCTGCTGCCCATCCTGACCTTTCTAAGGCTCATCTCAACATTCCTGTATCCCAGAGGTGTTCCTGTGCCCCATCCCAGTATTCCTGCAGCACATCCCAGAGTTCCTGTGCCCCATCCCAATGCTCTTGTGGCCCATTCCTTGGAGTCACTGGTACATCCCAACATTCCTGTGGCCCAGGGATGTTCCTGCCGCACATCCCGATATTCCTGTGCCCCATCCCAGTGTTCTTTGGCACATCCCAATGCTCCTGCAGCCCATGGAGACTGTTCTGCCCATCCGAACCTTCTGCCCCCTCTCACCATTCTCAGGTGTGTTCCTGAGCTCCATCCCAGCATTCTTCTGCCTGATCCCAACTTTCCTGGGGTTCAGGGATGTTCCTGTGCCCCATCCTGACATTCCCAGGGTCCAGCAATATTCCAGTGCCCCATCCCAGTATTCCCAGGAATTCCTGTGCATCATTCTAATATTCCTGTGCTCCACCCCAACATTCCCAAGCCCCTATCCCAACATTCCTGTGCTCCATCCCAACATTCCTGTGCTCCATCCCACCATTCCTAGGAATGGGGCCATTCCAGAGACTCCCCTGATGCCCCTCTCCCCTTTTCTCTCTATCCAGTGGGGGCCCTCCTGGCCCCTCCCCATCTGGAGATGATGGAGGACCCCCCAGGACTCCCCAGAGGAGAGGTGAGAATGGGAGGGGGGATTGGGAGGGCTCGGAGCAGGTTTTGGGAATTCGGGGGAGTCCTGGGAGCACTTGTGGGGCTCAGAGGGTGTTTGGGGGCAGTTGGATTTTGGGGGAGCTCAGGGGGCTTTGGGGGGGCTCGGGGAGAGGTTGGTATCAGGGGATCTGGGGGGGTTGAGGGATTTTGTGGGGGGTTTTGAAGGGTGCTGGGAGGGTTCCAGGGATGTCAAGGCCTCGCTGGGAGGCTAAGGAGGGCTTGAGGGACTCAGGAGGTTTTGGGGGCTGTGACCCCCCCACCCTTTCCCAGCAGATGAGCTGAAGCCGGAGGGGGGTCGGGAGAGCAGCTCCAAGGGCCGGAGCTGCAGCCGTGGCCCCGCAGGAATGGGGGACCCTGAGAGGTGAGCCCCCCCCAGACCCCCCCCCTCAGGAACCAGAAACCCCCCCCGGACACTGGGCATTTCCTGGGTATTGACCTCTGACCTCTGCCCCCCAGGAGGGACCCCCGGAAGGAGCACGAGCCAAAGAAACTGGAGGAGACCCCCCCCTCTGTAAGGATCCAGGGGGACCCAAAACGGGGGGAGGGACCCTCCCCTCAAATCGCGGGCTTGGGGTATTTTGAGGAATTTTCACCATAACGGACCCCCTCATGCCTCCAGTTTATGGGGAGCTGTGACCTCTCTTTGGGGTGAGGGGGCTTTCACCCCTCAAATCTCATTTTTTGGGATATTTTGGCAACTTTCTGCTTCACTGACCCCCTCCCCCTGCTCATCCCCACAGTTCAGCCATGGGCAGTCTGAGACCCCTTTTAGGGGGGCTGTGATCCCCCTCTTTTGGGGTGCATGACCCCCTGGGGGTCTTCATCCCCTTCAAACCTTGGTATTTTGGGGCTTGGGGAATTTTTTTTCAACAATGACTCCTGTGGCCCTCACAGCTCAACTATTCCAGCAATTTTGGATGTCTCTGGCCTCTTTGGGGACTGTGATCCTCTGGTTTTGGGATGTGTGAGCCCCTGGGGATCTTTATCCCCCTCAAATCCCATTTTGGGGAATTTTTCCTGGTTTTCCTTGCAGTTCAGCCACGCCAGCAAATATGCCGCGCTCTCCATGGATGGGGAGGATGAAGGTGATGATGAAGAAGGAGCTGAGTAAAAGCTTCCTCCCCCTCCTCCTCCTCAGCCGCCACGGGAACCTCTGGAGATTCCCAAAAATCCCAGCCTTGATCCAGGCGAGATGGAAATAAAACCTAAAACTCATCTGTTCCCTCAGATACGGCTTCTTAAATCCTGATAAAAACACACCCTGAACGCACGGGAATCATCCCAAAATCAGCACAGGGGGTGGCAGGGGTAATTCCAAGAGGTTTCTCAAAGGAAAAGCAGCCCCCCCCCCGTGTTTTCCATGGAATAAGGGGTGAGGAAGAGCTGGCCTTCCTCCCACCCCCGTCCTCACGCGATCCCCTCCAAAACAGGGATGGGGAGGCATCAAATTCCCCCCAAATCCTCCGGGATCCTTTGGGATCCCCCTGCGCCCCCCATTTTCCTCACTTCTGGAATGTCAGTTTCCCCCAGGACACCTTCATCATCCTCCTACTCACAGGTGTCCCCCCAATTCCCCCCCCCCCCGCCTAGTTTTTGGGATGCAGCCCTGCCCTTTACACAGGAGAACCTGGATTTCCACCCCAGAGCCTCGAGATATTGCGATATTTTGGGATTTGGGGTGGGCTGTAAAAATCTGTAAAAAGAACCTTCCCAGAGGTTTTGGAAGTCCCAGGGGAGTTTTGGGGTCCCCGGTGGGGGGGTTGAGGTTCTTCCCCCAGTTGGGGGCTGTTTTGTTTTCTCCAATAAAATGAGCTTAAAATGATCCAGAAAGGCCCTAAATCTTTCTGCCCTCTCTCCCCCTCGAAGGGCAATGAGGCAGTTCCCAAAGCCCCCCAGGGCGAATTTCCTGCCCCTACATTGGCCTTCCTCTCTCTGGGCTTCCTTCTTGTATCCTTCTCTTTCCTCCTTGCATCCTTCCTCATCCTTCATTCCTTCTTTCCTCGTGCTTTTCCTTCTTCATCATCCTCCTTCCATCCTCTTTTCCCTTCTTTCCCCTTCCTTATTTCTTCCTCCCTCCATCATTCCATCTCCTTCTGCTTCCCCTTCACCTTCCTCCTTCCACCTCATTCTTTTTCCTCCTCTTTCCTTTCTCCTCTTCCTCCTTCCCTCTGTCCTTCCACCCATTCTTCCTTCTCCTTCCTCCTTCACTTTCCTCCTTCCATCTTTTTCCTCCTCATCACTAGTTCTACCTCCTATTCCTTCTTTTTCATTATCCCTCCTTCACTTTCATCCTGATCCTTCCATCTCTGCTTCCTTCCATCCTTTCTCCTCCTCCTCTGCCCCTGCTGACTAACAGTAATCAACTGGGGGCGAGGGCACAGCACTGAGCCCCGGCATGGCACCCCCGGCCCTTCCTCTTTCCTGGCTCTTCCCAACCGCTGGAATGCTGGAGCCCGCCTCCCCCACCGCTGGAATGCCTCCCCCCCCGCGGCGGCTCCGGCCGCACAAAGGGGGGTCTGTCCTGGCCGGGGTGGGAGGGGAGGACCCCAAGGGCCGGGAGAAGGAGATTCCGACAACTCTGGCCCCCCAATCTCCTCTGTGCACCCCAAAACCCTCAAACCTAAATCCTCTTCCTGCACCCCCAAAAGCCCCTCCTGCACCCCATCCCCCCCGGCACAATAACCCAAAACCAGCCGTGCAACCCAGAACCCTCCTGAAACCCCAAAACCCTCCTGAAACCCCAATTCATTCCCTGTGCAGCCCAAAACGCCCCCACTTCAATAACCACTCCAATGCGCCCCAAAACCCCGTGTACCCCAGTTCTGCCCCCCTCCCAATTCCTCCCCTTCAAACGAGCTTCCCCCAGGGGCATCCCAAGGAGGGGGGTTTGGGGTCCCTGCGCTCCCCTGGGGAGCCCATCCTGGGACTGTGCGGGGTCCCCTGAGCCCCTCCAAACCTACACCTCCTGCCCCGAGTTTGGGGGTCGCAGGGGCTGAACATCTTCTTTCCCACCGAATTTGGGGGTCCCGTGGGGGGGGTCTCAGCCTTCCCCTTCTCTCCGAGTTTGGGGATCCCCATGGGGTGGGTCCAAGCCTCCCTTCCCCTCCGAGTTTGGGGGTCCCGACGAGTCGCGGGGGCGGGTTAACGGGGGGACGGTGGGAGGAGGAGGATGAAGAGGGGGCGGGGGCAGCGCCAGGAAGGTCCCGAGGGGGCTCGGGAGGAATTTTGGGGGATCCTGGAAGGGAGAAAGGGGATAACTGAGGCAGCGTCAGCAGGGGGAAGTGTCACCCCCTGTGTCCCTCTTGTGTGTCCCCCCTGTGTCCCTCTCCTTGTCTCCCCTGTGGTCCTCCCGGTGTCCCCTGCCCCTGTCCCCGCCGTGTCCGTGTCCCCGCCGTGTCCCCTCGCCGTGCCCGCCCTGTATGTCCCCTCTGTGCGTCCCCCACGTCTCCTCCTTGTCTCCCCTCTGATCCTCCCGGTGTCCCCTCCCCGTAGCCACACGTGTCGTTCCCGTGTCGTCCCCCCCGTGTCCCCCCCGTGTCCGTGTCCCCCCCCCGGCACGGGAAGCGGCTCCGGGCTCGCGGAAACGGCCCCTCCCCGCGCGCCTTCGGCCACGGAGCCGCTCGCGGGACCCACGGGAGCCCCGAGCCGCCCCCGGGAGCGCCTGGGATCCCCGAGACCCCCGCGGAGCCCCCCATGAAGCCCCCCGGGGCCATGGGGACGCTGCTGCGCGCGCTCGGCCGCCGCGATGGCACCGACACGGTAGGAGCGGGGGGAGGTCTAGGTGTGGGTGCAGGTCCCGCGTGGGGTGAGGACCCCTCCATGGGGAAGGGGGATCTGAGTACGGGGGGAGGAGCGGTGGGACCACCCCCGTGGCGCCCCCGCGGGTTCCCCCGCGCTCCGCTCCAGCCGCCCCCTCCCCACGCGTGACGCTGCGCGTCCTGGGGGGGCGAAGGCGAGTCTGACCCTCCCCTCCCCCCCCGCCGCCCCTCCCCATGTTTTCCCACGCTCACCCCTGGCCTCCACTTTCGCTTTTCCCCCATTTTCCCGCTTTTTCCCTTTTTTCCCACGCCCCTCCCTCCCCGTCCCACGCCCCCCCTCGCCTTCCCCCCGCTGTCCCCCTACCCCGCACATCCTCCCACGCCCCTCCCCCTCCGTGGGAACCGCAGGGTCGTCCCAGGGGGGGCATTTCCTGGGCTTGTCCCTGTCCCGCTTCCTGCGGGACTCGATGTCCGTGGCCGGGGGCCAGAGGGGCCTGGGGTGACACGGGGGGGACACGCGGGACGACACGGGCTGGGGGGGACCCAGGGAGGGAGACGAGACAACACTGGGGGACACGAGTGGGACATGAGCGATACGGAGGGACACGGGGAGACAAGGGACAGACGTGGGGTTGACACGGGAGGGACAAGGAATGGCGGGAGGGACAAGGGAAGGGAGACGAGGGACACGGGGGACATGGAGGCGTTACTTGGGGGGCACAGGGGTGGCACTGGGGGTGACATGTGAGACATGAGGGGGTCACAGTGGGGACCTGGGGGGAACAGGGAGATGACTTAGGGACAATATCAGGGGACACGAGTGGGACCTGGGAGGCGATACAGAGGACACAGAAGAGCACAGGGGCAGGACACGGAGTAACACTGGGGTGACAAGAGGGGGACATGATAGGGACAAATGGGGAGACACGTGTGGCGTCATGGAGGGGAAACGGGAGAGTGGGGGGCGACACGAGAGATCAGTGAGAAGTCATGGAGGGAACATGGGGGGACACAAGAAGGGACATGGGTGACACCGGGAGGACAAGGAGGTAACACTTGGGGAACGGGGGTACACGGTACACAGGGGGGCGACACGAGGGGACACGGAGGTGACACGATGGGAACTGGGTGGGACTGGGGACTGGATGGGTCACCGAGGGGACCTGGGGAGGACACGGGGAATTCACAAAAGAGACACAGAGGGTGACACGGGTGGGGACACGGAGGGGACACGGGAGTTGGCATCAGGGTCATCGGAGTGACACGGGGAGGACACGGGGGGATATGCGGTGACCCCCCCCGTGTTCCCGCAGCCGCGGCCGCCCCCGCCCGCCCCCCACACGTTCCGTGAGCGGAGCCTGCGCCGCGGGACGCCCTGCGGGGGCTGCGGGACCCCCCTGGGACCCCACGGGCTCGTGTGCAGAGGTGACACCCCCGGGACAGGCCCGGGACATCTGGGGGGGGCTGGATGGCGGAATAGGGTTGAGGGGATTACTGGCGACAGTGGGGTCGGGACTGGGCAGTTACTGGGGGCACTGGGAGCATTGGGGGGTTACTTGGATGGTTACTGGGAGTACTGGGAGGGCACTGGGAGCATTGGGGGGGGTTACTTGGATGGTTACTGGGGGCGCTGGGAGGACACTGGGAGAGCACTGGGAGCTTTGGGTGTTGCTTGGATGGTTACTGGGGGCACTGAGGAGTTGACTGCAGTGTTTACTGGAGGCAGTGAGGGATTACTGGGGACACTGGGAGATTACTGGGGGCAGCGGGAGGGTACTGGGGGCCCTGGGGGGTTCTTGGAGGGACCGTGGGGGGTCCTGATGTTGCCGTTGTCCCCCCTAGTTTGCAAAGTCGCCGCCCACAAGAGATGTGAGAGCAAGGTACGACGGGGGGCGGGGGGGGTCACTCAAGAGCTGGGGGACCCCTTTGGGGCTGGGTCCCATTTGGGATGACCCCCGTGTCCTCCTGCAGGTGACGTCACCGTGCCAACCTCTGCCCCCGCCTGAGCTGGTGAGTTTAGGGGGCCACGACCTCCCCAAACCCCTCGGGCAGGACCCGAGACCCCTCAAACCCCGCCTCGAGACCCCCGAAGCCCTCGGGCACGACCCGAAACCCCCGAAGCACCCCCAGGCAGGATCCTCCGAATTCCCTTCGGGATCTCCAAATTCCCCGGGCAGGATCAGGGACCCCACGGAAGGGGTGAAACCCCCCCAAGCCCTCCCGAGCAGGAGACGGGACCTCCCCCCCCCACCCTGGGAGCCCTAAACACTCTTTTCGGGATCCGGCACTTCCGATCCTCCCTGGACACCCCAAATCCCCCTCGGGACCCCAAACCCCCCCACCCCGGGCAGGACCCTGCCCCCTCCCCGGTGGTCGGGCCCCTCCAGACCCCGCTGTTTTCCAGAGGAGGAACACGGCCCCGGTGCGGCGCAGCGAGCGCGTGGTGAGACCCCCGAACCCCCAAAAACCTCTCGACTCCCTGACCCTCCCCCCGTGACCCCTAACCTCCCCGCGGTATCCCAAACCCCCCTCCCGGAAACCCCCTTAATCCCCCCCAGGACTCCCAAAACGTCCCTGATCCTCTCCTGACACCCCCGTGACCCTGCGGTGTTTTGGGGACCCCTCTGACACCCCCATCTTGGCCCCCCTTACCCCTTCCTGACCCCTCTTGACCCCCCGATCCCCTCCCGACCCTCCTCATGTTTTGGGGACCCTCCCCTTGACCCCACGCCCGTGTTATAGGGACACCCCCAGTCTTCCTGAACCCCCCCTTGACTCCCTCGACCCCGCCCTGTTTGGGGGACCCCTCTGACCCCTCCTTTTCCCCCGCTGTCTTGGCCCCCCTTGAACACCCCCGTGTTTGGGGACAGTCCTTAACTTCCCCCCATGTTTTGGGTCCCCCCCCGACCTCCTATTGCTCCCCCTCGTTTTTGGGGCACCCTCGGGACCCTCTAGAGCTCCTCGTTCGACAGCGCCCCCCAGCGGAGCACCCTGCCCAGGTACGGGGGGTTTGGAGAGGCTGGGGGGGTCTCAGGGATTGGGAGGGGGGAAATTTGGGGGAGATCACAAGAGGTTTTGGGGTGCTGGGGGAGTCTCAGGGATGGGGAGGGAATTTGGGGGAGATCCCAAGAGGTTTTGGGGTGCCGTGGGATCCCCGGGAGGGTTGGAGTGCTGGGGAGGGGGTTGAGGGAGTGCCGCCCCCCCAGTTCTGAGCCTCTTCTCCCCCCCAGGACTCCCCGCGGCCCCAGCCCCGAGCCCTCCCCCTTCCCCCCCCTGGACCTGACATTCGTGACTGAGCGGATCCTGAGCGTGGGGGTTCCGGGGGGCGGCGAGGGGGATCCCGGGGGGCACCTGCGGCACCTGGCGAAGCTCCTGGGGGCGCGGCACGGTCCCAACTACACGGTGAGGGCAACTGGGGCAACTGGAAGGGCTGTGGGGGGCCCTGGGGGTGCTACTGGGAGCACTGGGGGGAAACTGGGGGACCGAGGGGGCCTGCGGGGGGCACTGGGAGCCCTGGGGAGGGGGAGCAAGACACGAGGGACGCGGGGGTGGCAGGGGGCTGGGATTTCGGGGGTTCCAGGGGTGGGCTGAGGGGTCCTAGGGCAGTTTCGGGGTCGCCCCGGTGGTCCAGGCTCCTCCCGACCCCCGCCCCGTGCTCCCCCAGATCTTCAACCTGTCCGAGAAGCGCCGCGACCTCGCGCGCCTGAACCCCAAAGTGAGGAGCGGTCCGGGGGGATCCGGGGGGTGTGAGGGTCCCCCCGGGGGATGTGGGGGGGAGGGGGTGTGAGGGTCCCTCCGGAAATCTGGGGGGTCCCTGGGCTTCCGGGTGGGTCTCACTGGTTTGGGGGTCCCCTCGCGCGGTTTTGGGGGTCCAGGGCAGGTCCCGCGGTGTTGGGAGGGTGCCGGGGGATGGGGGGATGGGAGGGGGGGGTGTCGTGGGGGTTACGGGAGTCTCGGGGGATGCGGGATTCCTCGGATCCCTGAGGGGCTAGGAGTGTCTCGGGGGGTGCTAGGGATGTCCGGGGGGTCCCAGGGGCATCCCGGGAGGTTTTGGGGTGTCCCGGGGGGTTTTGGGGTGCCGGCTCTGAGGGCCCCCCCCAGGTGCTGGATTTCGGGTGGCCGGAGCTCCTCGCCCCCTCCCTGGAGCTGCTCTGCTCCGTCTGCAAAGCGCTCGAGGGGTGTCTGGGGGGGCACCCCCGCAACGTGGCCGTGCTGCTCTGCAAGGTGGGGACACGTTACTGGTTGGTTACTGGTTGGTTACTGGGAGCACTGGGTGTTACTGGTTGGTCACTGGTTGGTTACTGGGAGGGTACTGGGGGTTACTGGGACGCACTGAGGGCTATGGGGGGCACTGGGTATTACTGGGGAGGCTCACGGGGACACTCGGGGGGTCTCTTGGAGCCATGGGGTTGTACTGGGGGGTACTGGGAGGTACTGGGGAGTCCTGAGGGTCCTGAGAATCCTCACTTGTCCCCCCACCCCCCCAGGGCAGCAAGGCCCCGGTCGGGGTGGTCGTGGGGGCGTTTCTGCACTACAGCGACGTGTGGGGCAGGTGAGGGGGCCGGGGGGACTTCGGGGGATCGGGAGGGTTAAGGGGGGACTTGGAGCCCTTATGGGGATTATTGGGGGCCTGGTGGGGGTTTCTAGGAGGTTATGGAGTGTTGGGGGGCAGAGTGGGTGTCCAAAGGAGAATTCTTAGATTCAGAGGTGGTCCGGGGGCGCGGGGGTGGGGGAGCTATGGGGAGATTGAGGGGGTCATGGGAGGGTTAAAGGGGGTCATGGGGAGGATTTGGGCTATGGAGAAATTATGCGGGGCTTGGGGGAGTCTTAGGGGTCCCGGGGGGGGTGATGGGGGCTTCGGAGGTACCTGACCCTACTTTTGCCACCCCCCAGCCCCGAACAGGCACTGAACGCGCTGAGTATGAGGAGATTCTGCGAGGAGAAACTGGGGGGGGTCCTGCAGCCCTCCCAGCGCAGGTGGGGGGGTTAAGGGGGGCGGCTTTAGAGGTCCTGGGGTCTAGGGGGGGGGTCAAGGGAGGTCATGGCAGGACTTGGGGGAGTTGGGGTGTTCTTGGGTGTTATTTTGGGGAAGGTTTTTTGGGGTGGTTTTGAAGGTTTTTGGGTGTTTCTTGGGGTGATTTTTGGGTGATTTTGGAGTGATTTTTGGAAATGGTTTTGGGTTTTAGGGTGTTCTAGGGATAATTTTTGATGTGGTTTAGGGTGTTTTTGGGGTGGTTTTGAGGTAATTTTTGGTGTGGTTTCAGTTGGTGTTTGGGGTCGTTTTGAGGAAAGTTTTGGCCTGACTTTGGTGTGATTTTGGGGTGGTTTTGGGGTTCCACGCGTGTCCTCCCCCCCGCCCAGGTACACGGAGGATTTCGGGGCGCTGCTCTCGGGGCGACTCCGCCTGAACAGCTCCCCCCAGTTCCTGCACCACGTCCTGCTGCCCCCCCTGCCTGCCTACGACCCCCCCGATGGTCAGTTTGGGGGTGGGGATGGGACCCCAGCAACCCCCCAGGGGCCCCCAGTAATACCCCCGTGTGCCCTCGCAGGCTGCCGCCCCTTCCTCAAGATCTACCAATCGCTGCGGCTCGTCTACACCTCGGGGGTCTAGTGAGTGACACCCCCAAACCCAAATCTGACCTCCCCTGCGCCTCGGGGGGTCCCGGGGCCTCCCAAACTTCACTCCCACCCTGCTATGCCCTTCCTGGTCCCTCCCCCGAGCCTAACATTCCCCACTGTACCTATTGAGGGGTCCCAGGGCACCCCAAAGCTTACAACCCTGCCCCCCAAACCTGACATGCACACCCCGCCCGCGCCCTTTGGAGGGGTCCAGGGCCTCCCCCCAACCTTTCCCCCAATTTCCCCCAGTGCTGTATGGCTGGTGGGATTTCAGGGGGTACCCCTAATCTTGACACGCCCCCAAACTGATTGCCCCACACCCCCATGCCTGTCCCCAAACCTGAACTCCCCCAAACCGCCCCCCTTGTTCCCCCAGCAGCCCCCCCGCCTCGCAGTCGCTCTGTGTCACCCTGGAACCGGCGCTGCTGCTCAAGGGGGACGTGATGGTGAGGGGGGGGCGGGGGGGGCGGGGGAGGGATGGCCGAGGGATGTTCGGAGTTCGTGGGGCAGCGAACACTGGGGGTGGCGTGTGGGGAGGGGCTGATCCCCCCTAACCTTTGTGTGTTGGCCCCTCCAAGTCACCTGTCCGTGTCCCCCGCTCACCTGTGCCCCTCCCCAGGTGCGCTGTTACCACCGGCGGCGGGGGGGGCGCGAGGCGGTTTTTGGGGTTCAGTTCCACACCGGGACCCTGCGCGGGCCCCGCCTGAGGCTGCGCCGGGACGAGCTCGACGTGGCCTGGCAAGGTGGGGGCGCGGGGGAGCAACAGGAACTGGGAGGGGCAGAGGGAGCTGGGGGCACTGCGGGGTTTGGGGGGGCACGGGAGGACAGGGAGAGTTTGGGGGTGCTTTGTGGGGACACGGCGGGGGGTCCTGGGATGATTCGGAGGGTGCCAGGAGGGGGAGCATACGGGTATTTGGGGGCACAGATAACAGGGATGCCCCCAGTTCCCCTGTGCCCCCCCAGATGAGAACAGGGAGGGCAGACCTGAAGGAATTCGAGTGGGCAGGGAGCGGATGAGGGCTGGAAATGGGGCGGCTGGGGGAGTACGGGGGAATTTGGGGACGCAGATGATGGGGACGCCCCCATGCCCCGCCGAACCCCTGCTGTCCCCCCAGACCAGCGCTTCCCCCCCGACGCCACCGTGGAGTTCATCTTCTCCTCAGGCCCCGAAAGGGTCGAAGGTGGGTTTTGGGGGGTGGAGACCCCCGGGGATGCCCCGCCGGGCCACCCCCCTCACCGCCCAGCCTTCCTGCCCCCCTCCCCCAGGCTGGGTCCCCCCCCGCGGCCCCCCCGCCGCCCCCATCGATTACGGGGTGCGGGATCCCGCGGTCCGGCGCGACTCCTACGAGGGGCCCTGGGATAGCCCCGAGGGTAAGAGGGGGTCGAGGAAGAATTTGGGGTGCGGCGGGGTTCCCAAGGCATGGAGGGGGAAGAGGGGCCCCTTGGCCTGGGATCTGGGGAACGCAGTGGGGGTCTCAGGGGGCTGGAGGCTGTTGGGGTGACCTGGAATCTCAGGGGTGGCTGCGGGGGATTTGAGGGGCGGGGGGGACCGGGGGTATTCGGGGGTTTTGGGGATGCCCCACGATAAGAGAAGGTGGGGGATGGGGAGGGGCTGGGGGGGTCCCCACTTTCAAGGGGATGAAGGTCCTCTCTTTAAAGGGGGAAAATGCGGGGAACTGGGGGTGCAGGGGGGGGGCTTTGGGGGGCAATATGGACATACGGGAGGGGTGCCTCCTGTATGGCCTGAAGGGGATGGGGAAGGAGATAGGGGGTCCCGGGGGTTTTCGGGGGGTCCCGTGGGGTTTTGGGGGTGCAGGGGGGGGCTTTGACCGCCCTTATCCCTCCCAGAGCCCTCCCACACTTGGGGTCCCCTGGATGGCAGCCCCTACGCCCGCGTGCAGAAGAAGGGGGTTCCCTGCCCCCCCGGGGGGGACTCTGACTCCCCGCCCCCACCCGGAGCCCCCCACGGCCGCCCCCCGCCCCCCACGGCCGCCGAGCGCCGGGAGCTGGAGCAGCTGCTGGGGGGGTTCGGGGTGCGGGGGGGCCGCGAGACCCCCGGCCCGAGGGAGGAGCCCCCCGACACCCCAGAACCTCTCGGGACCCCCACAGCCTATGGGACCCCCGAACCACTTGAGACTCCGGCACCCTACAGGAATCCCACATCCTACGGGACCCCGATATCCCACGGGACCCCCACATTCCATGAGACCCCCGTATCCCATGAGAGCTCCCCATCCCATGGGACGCCGATATCCTATGGGACCCCAGTATCCCATAAGACCCCCCCATCCCACGGGACCCCCACATTCCATGGGACCCCTGCTCCCCACAGCCCTCTGACATCCCGTGGGACCCTAACACCCCACGGCTTCCCCTCATCCTATGGGATCCCCAAATCCCAGGGTTCCCCCACACCCTATGACACCCCAAAACCCTACGGGACCCTGGTGCCCCACGTGACATTGACAGTCCATGGCCCCCCAGCATCCCAGGGGTCTCCAACTTCCTACGGGACGCTGGCACCCCACGGCCCCACAGTATCCCCTGGGACCCCAACATCCCACGGGGTCACAGTGCCCTATGGAACCCAAATATCCCACAGGACTCCAATATCCCAGGGGTCCCCAACATTCCACGGGACCCCGATATCCCAGGACACCCTGGTGTCCAACAGCACTCCAATATCGCAGGAGACCTTAACATTCCAGGAGTCGCCGATACCCTACAGCCCCCCAGCATCCCATGGGACCCCAACATCCCTGGAGACCCCCACTCCGTATGGGACTCCAACATCCCAGGGGTCCCCATCACCCTATGGGACCCCAAAATCTTATGGGACCCCACCATCTCATGGATCCCCAACATCCCAGGGCCCCCACACTCCTCATAGCCCCCCACAAGCCCAGAAGTCCCCAACATCTTACAGCCCCCCGTTATCCCACGGGATCCCAATAATGCATGAGACCCCAGCTCCCCACAGCCCCTCGACATCCTACAGCCCCCCAAAACCCCATGGCACCCCAGTATCCCCCGGACCCCCAATAGCCCACAGCCCCCCCTCACTGCACAGCCCCCCAGCATCCCATGGGATCCCAATATCCCACAGCCCCCCCGCACCTCACCCAGTATCCCACAGCCCCCCGAACCCTTGGGGCCCCCCCAGCCCCTGGGCCCCCCCGTGTCCCCCCCTGTGCCGTCGAGCCAGCCTGGCCTCCCCTCGGGACACCCCAAAACGGGGGGTGCAGCGCTCACTGTCCGAGGGGTTCCCCTCGTGGGGGGGCTACGGGCGCCCAGTGGCGGGGGGATACCTGCTCTTGGGGGAGCTTCCGCCCCTCTGCCCCTGCCAGGACTGCCAGGGCTGGGGGGGCGTCTCCGCACTCCCCACCCGCCCAATTTATAGCGGGCACGAGTGGGGAGCGCACCCTCTGCAGCCCCTAGATTGCCCCCATTGCGGCCGCCCCGGGCTGGGGCTGGAGCGGGGACCCCCCCCTAGAAAAGGGGGCTACGACCCCCCCGCCATAGGGGAGCCCCAGGAGCCGACAGGTAAAAATGGAGGGCTCAAAGGGGTTAACAGGGGTCCTGGGGGTGTTAGGGATTTGGAGGGGTCTAAGAGGGCTGTGGGGGCCTCTTGGGGGGGTTATGGGGCATTATGGAGGCTACTGGGGGGTCCTGGGGGAGATGTGCGGGAGGTAAAAGGGTTCATGGAGGGCGTCTGGAGGGGTGTTGGGATTAAGTGGGGTCTGAAGGGGCTGGGGAGGGCTTCTGGAGAGGGTTCGTGGCCACGGAGGGGCTGGGGGGCTCCTTGGGGGAGCTGAGGCATAAACTGAGGGAGATTTGGGGAGATTTGGCGGAATCCGAGGGGTATTAGGAGAGGCCGGGGGCAAAGCTTCCCCACTGGAGGGAGACTTTGGAGGCCCCTCAGGGGGTCTTTTGGGGGGGGTCTCACTCCCCTCTCTCTCTCTGTGCCCCCCCCCAGGGCGACGCAGCCCCATTGAGGGGAGTCCCTGGCCGGGCCCTCCCCGCCCCCCCTCCGAGTCTCCCCGGGCCCCCTCCCCCAGCAGCGGCACCCCCGGATCCCCCCCGCCCCCGCAGCCGCCCCTGCCCGAGAAGCGGCACCCCCCGGCCCCGGGGGGGCCCCGGGACCCCTCCTCACCCCAGCGCAGCCCGGCGGGGACCCAGGGACACCCCTCGGCCGGGCCGGGGCCGGGGCCGGGCGGGACCCCCCCCGGGGGCACCTTCGTGCAGGACACGACCAAGTTCTGGTACAAACCGGGGCTGTCCCGGGAGGAAGGTACGGGGGACGGGGGGACCAGGGCGCTGGGGACTCCCGGAGGGTTTGAGGGGGAGCCATGGGGGCCGGGAACTCCCGGAGGGGTTTGGAAGGGATGGGTTTTGGAAGGAATGAGTTTTGGAAGGGATGGGTTTTGGAAGGAATGAGTTTTGGAAGGGATGGGTTTTGGAGGCTCTTGGGGGTTATTGGGGAGTACTGAGGGGCTGCGGGGTGTTTGAGGGGGATCAGGGGAGCATGGGGGGGTCTGGGGTGGTCAGTGGGGGGGCGGTCAGTGGGGGCTAGGGGTGGCCAGTGGCGTCCCCCCGTGTGTCCCTTCTGCCCCCGTGTGACCCTCGCGTGTCCTCTCAGCCGTGTCCCTGCTCAAGGCGGCCCCTCCCGGCTCGTTCCTGGTCCGCCGCAGCAGCAGCTTCCCGGGGGCGTTCGGGCTAGCGCTCAGAGTGGGGGTGCCGCCCCCCCGCGCCACCCCCAGAGCGGGTATGGACCTCCCCAAGCCCCCCGAACCCCATAGACCTCCCCCCCCGATTCCATGGACACCCCCCCGGCACGCCCCAAACCCACCGTCCCCCCTACGGAGGATTTGGGGGCCGGGGAAGGAAGAGGCATCTCCCAGGGCTCTGACGCCCCCAACACTCCAGGGACCCCTGAGAATCACCCCAAATTCCCCACCAGCAGCCCCCAAATCCACCCACTGACCCCCCCGGCCTCGTGCAGTATGGGGGGGGTCGAGGGGTTGTCCATAGTGGGGAGGTATCGGGGGCCTGCCAGGGGAGGCTGGACACTCCCAACACCCCATGAACCCACCCGGATCCCCCCCATGGACACCCCTCAAATGCCCCATAGACAATACCGGGGCATCGGGGGATGAGGGGTGGTCTCGGGGGTCTCCCTGGTGTCTGACTCCCCCCGGTCCCCCAGGGGACCCTCAGGAGCAGCTGGTCCGGCACTTCCTGATCGAGACGGGCCCGCGGGGGGTCAAAATCCGGGGGTGCCCCGAGGAGCCTTATTTCGGTGAGGGGGACGGGGGGGCTCGGGGGAAGAGCGGAGAGGTCTGGGGGGGGTCTCTGAGGGTCTGGGGGGGATTGGGGAAGTCAGTGGGAGGGGCTGGCGGAGGGGTTCGGTGGGGTCTGAAGGGGAACTCTGGGGGGCTTTGGGGGTCGAGTAGGGTTGGGGGAATTTCTGGGGCTTCGAGGAGTCGGCGGGGGTTTTGGGGGTGCCCTGACCCCTCTTCCCCCCAGGGAGCCTCCCGGCGCTGGTACTGCAGCACTCCATCACCCCCATCTCGCTGCCCTGCGCCCTCCGCATCCCCCATGCAGGTGGGCACCCCAAAGACTGCGGGAACACACAAAAACCCTGCGGACACCTCAAAAGTCTCGCGTAACTCCCCAAAACCCTCACGGGGACCCCGTCCAAAATGCGGGTACACCACCACAATCCCTCCCTGGGACACACCAGAATGCCCCCGGAGAACCCCAAAATCATGGGACACCCCAAAACCCCCGCGGGGACGCCCCTGAACACCTGCTGGGACACCCCACGAGCGCGAGGATACCCCAATATCGCAGGTCTTTCCCCCAATACCACAGGAGCCCCCAAAACCGCGAGAACCCCTAAAATTGCGGGGACACTCCCAAACGTTGAAACCCCTCCCCGAAAAGTGGACGGGACTCCTCAGAAACTCCTCCAGTCCCCAAAATCCCCTCAGAGTCCCCGAGTTTCCCCCCAAACTCCCCTGGCCCCCCAGTTTTCCCTGCCGGCGGTTCTGGACGGTTCCTGGTGGGGCACTGGGGGTCCCGACTGCCCTCTCACCCTGTGCCCTCCTCCCCAGAGCTGCAGGAGGAGTCCCCGGACCCCCCTGGGCCCCCCAATGTCAGCACGGCCGGAGCTCTCCTGAGGCAGGGGGCAGGTGGGACTGGGGATATTGGGGGGACTGGGAACACTGTGGGGAGTACTGGGGATACTGGAGTGGGGGGCACTGGGGTGGGGGGTGAAGGTACTGAAATTGGGTCACTGTGTGAGGTTGGCATCGGGACTGGGAGCGCTGCGGGGGCTGGTCCTGCTTTTGGGGAGATTGATCTCAGTTTTGGGAAGGCTGGTCTCAGTTTTGGGGAGGTTGGTCCCGGTTCTCGGGGAGGGTGGTCTCAGTTTTGGGGAGGTTGGTCCCGGTTCTCGGGGAGGGTGGTCCCAGTTTTGGGGATGCTGGTCCCGGTTCTCGGGGAGGGTGGTCCCGTCTTTGGGGATGCTGGTCCCGGTTCTGGGGGAGGGTGGTCCCGGTTTTGGGGATGTTGGGCTGAGTTTTGGAGTTTCTCCTCCCCGTTGCTCCCCCAGCCTGCTCTGTGCTGTTCCTGGGCTCGGTGGGGACCGAGGCCCTGACCGGGCCCCAGGCCGTGGCCAAGGCCGTGGGGTCCCTCCTGGAGGGCACCCCGAGTGCGGGGGTGTCCCCCCGGGCCCCCCCCAGCCCCGTGCACTTCAAGGTGTCGGCGCAGGGGATCACCCTGACGGACCGGCAGCGCAAGTGAGGGACCCCAAATCCCCCGAACCCAGACCTCTCGAATCCCACAATCACCCCGAACCTCCCCAAACCGCCCAACCCCCTCCACCCGACTCCTTCAAACCGAGATTCTCCCCAAAACCACCGACTCCTCCAAACCTCTTAATCCCCCAAACGCCAACACTCCAAACCTTATCAAACGCCCTAAAACCCTCACCCCCTGAACCACCAACCCCACTAAACACCTAATCCACCAAACCACTGATCCCCCAACACCGACCTCCCCCCAAACCCCTCGGCACCCACCGACTCCGCCCTGCCCCCACCCTCTCCCCGCCCCCCCCAAGCCCATCCTCACCACGTCCCGTTCCCCCCAGACTCTTTTTCCGCCGGCATTACCCCGTGAGCAGCGTCACCCACTGCGGCACCGACCCCCAGGACCGCAGGTGAGGGGGGGCACGGGGGGGCACAGGGGGGACCCCCAATCATCCAAACCCTCCCAGATTTCCCAACCCCTTTAACCCCCGCCAGGTGGGCGAACCCCGACGGGAGCACAGCCAGGTACGTGGAGAATCCCCCAGAACGGGACCCTCGGGTAGGAGGGGGGGGCACAGATCTGACACTGGCCTCGGCCCTTCCCCCCCACCGGTCCCCCCAGGATTTTTGGGTTCGTGGCGAAGCAGGCAGGGGCCCCGGGGGGGGGCAACGCGTGTCACGTGTTCGCCGAGCTGGACCCGGAGCAGCCGGCGGGGGCCATCGTCACCTTCGTCACCAAAGTCCTGCTGGGGACACGGCACTGAGGGACACCAGGGACCCCCTCGGGATCCCAAAAACCATCTGGGGACTCCCACAGCCCCCCAAGGCAGTGGGGCTCAGGGACACCCTCAAAACCCAGTGGGACTCTCCCCCGTCTTCACCAAGGTCCGGCTGGGAACACGACATTGAGGGACCCCCAGGACCCCCTGGGACCTCCAAAACCATCTGGGGATGCCCAAAACCCCCTGGAGTCCCCTGTGCCAAGGGGGGGACAGGGGGACACACAGAACCAACCTTTCCCGCCATTATTACCTTCATCACCCCCAAGCCCCCACTGAGACTCCCCCAAAACCACCCCCGGCTCCCCCAAACCCTCCCAGACTCAGGGATTCGGGGGAGCACAAGGGGACCCCCATAATCACCCTCCCCACCATCTTCATCACCAAAGTTCTACTGGGGACTCTCAAACTCCCCCTGAGACTCCCCCAGACACTCCCCAGACCCTCCAGCCCCCCTTGGAGACCCCCAAAACCTCCTGCACACCCCCAGCTGAAAAACCCCTTCCCTCAAATGAAGAAGGAGAGGCTGGTAGAAAAGTCGTCACAGGGACACCCCCTGCGATTTGGGGGGTCCCGGGGGAACAATAAATCCACATTTATTTTGGTGTAAGAAATGGGTTTATTTGAGGGGGGGTAGGCATGGGAACCCCCCCCCTGTGCAAATGTCAAAGGGGACCCCAAAACCAGCCCAGCCCCCACCACAGAGCTGGGGACTCTGGGGGCTCCCATGGAATTGGAAGGGTCAGGTTACATTCATGATTGGGGAAAACCCCTTATTCTGCCCCCCTGGAACCCCCCAAGAATAAGGAGTGCTGGAAGAGATGGGGGGGGGCACAGGTGTGATTTGGGGGGGCACCAGGGGGGTCAGTGGAGTGGGAGGGGTTGGGGGAGCTGGAGAGGGTCAAAGGGGTGATTTGGGGGCTCTGGGGGAGCACAAGGGTCACCCATGGTGGAAGGGGCACAACTGAGACCCCCAAATCCACCTGGGGAGGTCACTGGGATGATTTGGGGGGGGCAGGATTGAGTGCCCCACAAACATGGGGGTGGGGCAGGAATGGGTCCCCCAAAGATATGGTAGAGGCCATGGCTGAGCCCCCCAAAAACAACTCTGGGGGGCAACAGTGGGGTACTTTTGAGGGATCAATGGGGGGATTCACTTGGGGAACTCTCCCCAAAGAGCCCTCAAAGGGCAAAATTATGGGGGGGGCAGGAGTGAACCCCCTAAAAACCACCTTGGGGGGGTCTCCACTATTGTGGAAACACCCTAAAGTGCACTGGGAGAGCCCGGGGTGGGTCCGGGAGCACCGGAGGGTTTTGAGTGTTGGGGGGCCCCACGCGGGCCCCCCCTTTATCCGCTCAGGGGGTGCAGGTCCACCTTGACCCTCTCACCAGTGCTGAGCATCCCCACGGTGGGGAAGAGACCCCCGGGGGGGACCCCAACCTCCCTGCGCCCCACGACCGTCCCGTTCCGTGTGAAGAACACCTGGGGGGGAGCACAAATCGGGGGGGGGTCACCCCTATATTGGGGGAACAGGGGGAGACCCACCCCCCCAAAAAAAAACTGGGATAAGGGGGGGAGTAAGGCAAGGAAAAATGAGCCAAAAGGGGGGTGAAGGGGGGATTTCTGGGGTGAGTGGGGGGTTTTGAAGGGGCAAAACCACACGGTGGGTGGGGGGGGCAGGGACACGCAGCAAGGTCAATCCAACATAAGAGCGAAGGGCAGGGAGACCCCAATCTCCCAAAAAAATGGGGGCAAAGGGGTTGACCTCAGGGTGAGTCACTGTAAAGGGAACCCAATGGGGGTTGCAGGGGATTTTGGGGGTGATGGAAAGTCCAGGGGTGGGGCACAAATACGTGTGGGGATCACAGACAAACGGGGGGTCACCCTAAAATATGAGGCGGGGGCGGGACACCCCCAACCCCCTCAGAATCCGGGTGTTGGAGCCCCCACACTGATTCAAAAGGATCCCAACGGGGGACAAAGGAGAATTTTGGGGTGAAGGAGAAACTTTTCTGGGAGGCAGCGGGGTTTTTTAGGACACAGATGTTTTTCTGGCGGGGTGTCCCCACCCTTACCACGACCTTCCTGCCCTCCTGCTCCTGTTCCATGTCCTCCCCATCCTCCTCTTCCTCCTCCTCTTCCTCTTCCTCGTCCTCCTCCTCCTCCAGGTACATCACGTTGCGCACCTTCACCTTCACCTCGGGGGGCTCCGAGGAGTCATCGCTGTCACCTGGGGTGGGGAAAAGGATGAGGGATCCTCCCAGGGCCCGCCCAGGCTTTGGGGGTCCCCAGCCCCGCGGTACCTTCACTGTCCCGGCCGTAATCCCGAGGGAACATGATCCCACAGCCCATCACGTCGCCCTTGTAGCAGCGGGGGCCAAAGGGATCCCCGACGCCGCTGCCATGGAACAGCTTTCCGTCGTCTGGGGGGAGAGCCCGAATTAGAGGGACCCCCCCAGTTCGTGGAGAACCCCCAGACACACTCCATGGGGGTGCACCCCAAAAAAAGGAGAAAGGGGTTACAGGTGGAGAAGGACAAGGAGGGGGGAAACGCAGAAGGGGACAACTGGGGACAGGGAGTGCACAGAGGGGACCCCCGAATCAGGGGGGTCATGGGGGGACCCCTCCCATGGGGATGCACCCCAAAAAAAGGAGAAAACTAGGCCTGAGAAAGGTGGAAGGAAGAAGAGGGTGAAGGGGGTGAAAGGAGATAAAAGGGGAGAAAAGGGTGAGGCCATGGGGATCCCCCCACCTCGATGGACACCACCCCTCAGACCTCCCCATGGGACTGCACCCGAAAAAAGGGCGGAAACTGGGTTGGGAAAGGAAGAGGATGAAGGAGAAGACGGCAGAAGGGAGAAGGGAGGAGGGAGGGGTCATGGGGATTCCCCGAGGTCATGGGGGAGAGCCCCCAGACCCTCATTATAAGGGCGCAACCCAAAATAGAGCAGAAAAATGGGAAAGGGGTTTTCAGGAGGAGAAAGAGTAGGAGGAGGACCCACTATTGGGCTCCCGAGTTTGGGGGGGTCCCGCCCATTTTGGAGGTCCCCTCACTTTTGGGGGGCTCACCCGCGTGATAGGCCACCGAGCCCCTGCTCCAGCCGGGGTGACGATTTTTGGGGTAATCCTGGTGGGGAGAGCACAGGGGAGGTGAGGACAATGCGGGCTGCCCAGCCCCCCTAAATCCGTGGACCTCAATTTTCAACCTCAAACCCTCATTTTTGACACGTCCCCCACCTTTCAGCCCAGCTCCGTACCCCAAATCTGAGCCCTCTCCCAGCCGTGGAGGAGGCTCCAGCCCCTCTTTACTCCCTCTGTAACTCCCGGATCCCCATTTTCGACCCACATCCCCCCAGTTCCCTGCCCCTCCTCAGCTCCGTAGGTGTCTCCCCCCACCCCAGTCCCCCCGCGTACCTTCCTGGCCACGCCCAGGGCGATGTAGCACTTCTCGCCCGGGTCCAGGATCTCCAGCTCGAAGTAGTGGCTGCGGGGGCTGAGCGGCCGCCGAGCCTGGGCCAGCCCCACATCCACGATGCTCTTCCCCTTCCCCACGTACTCCAGCACCTGGGGGGGGCGCGGGGCGGGCTCGGACACGGGGAAAAGGGGCACCCCCCAAGCCGGACTAGTCCCAAATCCGCGAAATTCATCCCCTTCCCCGCCTAATAACAGCACCTGGGAGGGTTTGGGGGATCTGGGAGGATCACAGGGGCTCAGGGCAGGATCATAGAGGGTCGGGGGGGGAACACACAGGGGATTTGGGGGCACCCAAGAACTCCCAGACTCCCGATGTCACTGCTGTGACCTCCTTTATCCCGCCCCCCTGTCACGGCCCCCCTTTTCGCCCTCCCCAGCACTACGGACCCCTCTTGTCTCTAAAAACTGTCCTTACCCAAACTCCCAGACCCCAATTTTCCTCACTCCATAACCTCAATTTCTGACCTCCCAGCTCAGGGAGAGGGTCCAACCTCTTCCAACCTCCCCCTCCACCCCCCCGCACCCTCATTCTGAGCTCCCTGCCCATTTCCCTACGCCATCCCCAGTCCTGCCTCCCTTTTCCCCCCTCCCGGCCCCCTGACCCTGCCGAACCCCCCCCCGGGTTTCCGGGTGCTCACGGAACCACAGAGTCGCACGTCATGTAGCCTCCCCCACTCCTCCTCCAGGCTGTCCACCAGCATGGCCCCTCCCTCGTCCTCGGATGGCCCGGGCGGGGGCAGATGCAGCCGAACCTCCTCCCCCAGCGAGTGCAGCCCCACGGCTGGGAACAGCCCTGGGGGCGACAGTGGCACCCCCAGACCCCCCACCTGCGATTGAGGGAGTCAGGGGGTGAGGGGGGCTCAGGGACAAGGGCAACCCCAGGCCCCCCATCTGGGATTTAGGAAAACACCAAACTAGGAAGTGGGGGGGCTCTGGATGCTTCAGGATTTCAGAAGATTTGGGGGCCCTTCCATCCTCTGTCCATTCTTTGTGAAGAACAGCTGGGGGAGGGACAAAAGGACCCCCCGTTTGGGCGGTCCTGGAGGCTTTGGGGGTCCTGGGAGGTTTGAGGATGCCTTGGTGAGTTTTGAGGGTGCTCTGGGGCAGGGTGAGGGGGCAGGGTGGGGGTCCCCTCACCCTCTGGCCGTTCTTGGTGAAGAAAACCTGGGCGGGGGGGGCCCCGAACGAGCCCCTCTCGACACCGCAGCCGATCCGGTCCCCGGAGCTGCACTTGGAGCCAAACTGGCGCCCCTTGGCTCGGCCACTGTAGAGCCTGGGGTGCGCCAAAAACGGGAGGGACCCCGAAAATGGGGGTGGGTGTCAGTAATGGGGGACCCCAAACCTGGAGCAGCCCCCCAACACCTCCCAGTCCTGATACCCCCACGGTTCCCCCCAGTGTCTTGACACCCCCAAGGTGCCAACCCCTCAATATCCTGACATCCCCCTGCTATCTCGACACCCCGATATCCCAAAGCACCTCATCCTTCACTATCCCGACATGTCCCAAAATCATGAAAATCCTTAATATCCCAACACTCACAATTCTCCAACACCTCCCCGCTATCGCGACATCCCGGCCCCGCCCCCCGCTGTCGCGACACTCACTTTCCATCATCAGCGTGGTAGGCGACGGAGCCGGGCCCCCATCCCGGGGGGTGCTCGAGGCTGTGGCAGTGCGGGACCAGCCCCACGGCGATGGTGCCGCGGACCCCGCTGTCCACGATGGACACCTGGGCACGGGGCGGCGGGGTCAGGGCTCCGCAACCCCCGGGACAGCCCGCGCCTCCCGAATCCCCAGGCTCACCTCGAAGTAGTTGCTGTCGCGGGTCAGCGGCCGCGGAGCCACGTAACAGCCGACCTCGCCCGAGGGGCCGCGGTAGCTGCGGAGGGCGGGGGACTGAGACACCCTCGACCCCCAAAGGGTACTCCCAGACACCCCACCCCCCAATATCTGTGGGTGCTTCCAGACCCCTCCCACCCTCGTGGGTGCATCCTCCCACCCCCGTGGGCCCTCCCAGCCCCTTTTTGTGGGTGCCCCCAACCCCCTCCAGGTACCCCCCGCCCCCTCCCACTCCCGTAGGTCCCCTCACGTGCCCCCCCCCCGGAGCCCCCCAGTCTCCTTTTGCGGGTGCCTCCGGTCCCCCCGGGGTACCTGAGGGTGTCCCCATCGACCAGGATGTGCCGAGCGCGTTCCTGGCAGCGCAGACCCCGATCCCGATCCCGGTCCCGATCTCGATCCCGCTCTCGGTCCCTATCTCGATCTCGGTCCCGATCCCGGTCCCGGTCCCGGTCCCGATCCCGATCCCGATCCCGATCCCGGTCCCGGCCCTCCCGCACCTCCCGGATCTCCCGGATCCGCCGGCGCCAGTTCAGGAACCTGAAGTGCAGGTTCAGGTCATCCATGGCGGGGGGGCTCCTGCGGGGAGGCAACGGTGGGACCTCGAAAGGACGGGGGGCTCGGAACCGACACACCCGAAACTGACACCCCGAATCAAATGTGAACCCCCAAAACTCGAGATCCCCAACACTGACCCCCAAATACACACCTGACACCCCAAACACACCTGAACCTACAAAACTTCCCTCAAAACACACCCGATCCTCTAAATCATACCTGAAAACCTTAAACATAGCTGACTCCCGAAAATACATCTGAACTCTCAAAATTAATCCCCAAAACACACCTGATGCTCCAAAATACACCTAAGCCCCCTAAACACACCTGACTCCCTAATATACACGAAACCCCTCTAAACCCATCGGGTCCTCCGAACACACCTGGACCCCCAAAACACATCTGAACCCACAAAACCCACAGGAGACCTCCCAGAACCGTCCTCCCAAACACGCATACGTGAAACACCCAAATCACACCTGAGATACCCCAAAACTGCCCCTCAACACACACCTGACCCCCCAAAAACCCACATCTGACACACCCAAATCACCCCTGCCCGCTCAAAACTGAACCCCAATCCCAATCCTGACACCCCCCACACACCAAGGTCCCCCCATTCCGGGGGTCCCTTTCCCCAGCACCACTGTTCCCAGTACCCCCTAAGACCCCCCATTCCCCCTGCGCAGCGGCCGCCCCCCACCATGGGACCCCCCACACCTCCCCAATTCCCTCCCAACTCCCCTCATGACCCTCAAATCCCTCCCATATTCCCCGAACCGGGGTCTCCCCGTCCCTCCCCGACTCCTCAGGCCCCATCCCAATCTCCCCCAGACATCCCCAGACCTCCAAATCTTCCCCAGAGCCCCCCGGGTCCCCAGTGCCCCCCCCCTTACCGGGGGTCCCGCCCCCTCCATGGGCCGCGCTTACATCCGGGTCCCGTCCGCGTCCGTCTCCCTCCGCCCGCCCACTGTACCCGTCGGACCAATCGCTACTCGCGGCGCCGGGACTGACAGCTCCCTCAGCCAATCGGAACGCGAAGAGGGAGAGAGGCGGAGCCTACCGGGGAAAGCGGGGAGCGTGCGCCGAGACCACTGACGCTACGGGCATGGGGCGACAGGCATAAGGGCTCCCCCTGGCGGACGGGGGAAGCCGGGGGAACTAGGGAGAATTGGGGCGCCACGAGTTACTGGGGGAATGAGGGGAACTGGAGAAACGGGCAGGAACTAGGAAAATTACGGGGAATGGGGGGGTTACTGCAAGGACTGGGGGGAATTGAAGGATACTGGAGGCACTGAGGGGATTCAGCTTGGGGTCAAACCTGCGCGAGGACTGTCGCACTGGGGACATGGCTGGACTGGGACTCAGTGGTTTGAACTGGAGGTGCTCTGGAGGGGTTTCAGTGGTCCTCCAGACCCAAGTTTCGGGCGTGGGGGGGAGGACTTCATAAACACCTTTATTGGGTGGGTTTATTAAAAATTAATTAAGTAATTAATACACCCTCACCCCCATGACACTACACGGGGTCAGTCACAGGCCACACTTGGCCTGGTGTACCCATGTCCCCTCTGCTGTGCCTTGTGGAAGGTGGCACTGTGACCTGCCATGTGTCACTTGGGGGTGGCCCCATGTTGTCACCCAGAGTTCATTGTGGGGGTGACAGCAGCACCAGGGCCCCATCACAGCACCGTGTCACCATCAGGGTGTCCCAGTGTCACTGTCACCTACATTTCATTATGGGGGTGATACTGTGACCTGTCACAGCTTAACGTCACCAGTGGGGCGTCCCTGTGTTACCCACAGCTCAGCCATAGGGGTGACACTGTGACCTGTCACAGTTCATGATCGGGGTTTCCCAGTGTCATTGTCACCCACAGTCCATTGTGGGGTGACACTGTGACCCACCAAAGTTCGGTGTCCTCAGGAGGTGTCCCAGTCACCCACAGTCCATTGTGGGGTGACACTGTGACCCATCACAATGTGATGGGGTGTGACCCACCACAGGGTGTCTCAGTGTTTCTGTCACTCATAGCTCAGAATGGGGGTGACACTGTGACCCCATCACTGCCTGGTGACCCCACGTGCTCTTCCCTTGTCCCTGTCGCCATTAGAGCCCAGTGTCCATGTCCCCATCACACCCCAGTGCTCCTGTCACATTCTGGTGTTCCGGTGTCCCCCTCAAACTGTTCCAGTGTCCCCATCACACCCAGGTGTCTCTGCTTAGTTGATCCAGTGTCCCTGTCCCTGTGTACTTGTCACTCCCCAGTGTCCCCTTCGAGCAGCCCCTCATCCCCCACCCTCAGCCCCTCGTCCCCACGGGCGGTGCCCAGGATCCCCCCGGCTGCCCCCAGTGCCACCAGAGCCGCCAGGGCCGCAGCGCCGAACACCCGCCGTGTCCCCGCAGGGTCCCCGGGCAGTGCGGGCAGTGCCAGTGACACCCCCAGGCCGAGGGGCAGCCGCAGCCACCGCGCTCCTCCTGCCGCGTCCCTGCCATGCTCCAGCCGGCGCCGCAGGAACGCCATGGCTGGGAAGTAAATCCCGCAGGAGAGCTGCAGCATCAGCAAGGCAAGGAAATCACCGGGGAGGTACAATGGCAGTGGCAGTGGCAGTGCCAGGAGCAGAAGGGCCAGTGCCAGGAGCAGGATGGAGCCGGGCAGGAGCCGCACTGGCTGCAGCCGGAGCCTCCCGGTGACGCCACGCCGGAATAGGGCCGAGCCTGCGGCGCTGGCGGCCGTGAACCCAGAGAAGGCGATTCCCAGCGGGATCCCATGTGGCTCCAGGACAGGTGTCCAAAGGAAGGCAAAGATGAGTAGGATGCTCTCCACAAGGGCCTGGACCAGCCCCAGGAGCAGTGTCCGAGGGTCAGACAGGAGGCCCCGAAGGCCTTCCCCACAAGCCTTACTGCAGGACCGGCTCTTCCCGTAGTTCTCATCCCAGTTTTTCCCGGCAAAGATCCCCGAGAGTGCAAGGAAGGGCATGGCCACCAGGAATGGGGCCACAGGGCCCAGTGCCAGTCCCTCAGCCACCAGCTCGGCTACCAGGCCGGCTGCCACGGCCAGGCCGCTGTTCCAGAGGGCCACGCGGGAGAAGGTGTTGGGAATCCACTCGGCCGGGAAGTCATGGCGCTCCAGGTGCTCATGGATGTACCAGGACTCGAAAGCAGAAAAAAGCAGGGAAGTGCCGAGGCCCGCCAGGACCCGGCCAGCTGCCAGTGCCAGGAAATCCTGGGAGAGCTGCAGCAGGCAGGACACGGAGCACAGCCCCGAGGACAACACACAGGACTTCTTCCGGCCAAGCCGATCCACAAAAACACTGGAGACGAGGCCAAAGGCAACGTTGGAGGCAAAGCCGCAGGAGTAGAGGGCAGCGATCTGGCTGCGCAGGAAGCCCCGACTCTGCAGCAGCTGGAACAGCAGCGGGCCCTGCAGCCAGTCCGCAGCCAGGGCGGGGAGGTATCCCAGCAGGAATTCCCGTTGGAAGCGGCAGAAGGCCGGGTTGGAGGGTGAGGGGTGGCGCGGGGGTGGCTCCAGAGCCAGGCAGGTGAGGAGGAAGAGGGCGAGTGCGGAGCAGGGCAGCAGGAACATGGTGGGGAAGGGGCTCAGGAGGGCCTGGGGAGTGAAAAAGGGGGATCAGCACTCGGAGGAACTGGGAGAGTCCAGAGGGACCACCCAGGTGCCCCAAACCCCCCAGACAGCCCATGGGTTCTATAGGGACCCCCCACCCCAAAGGGCCCCATGCTGGGGGCTATAGGAACCCCCAGCCCCTAAAACAAACCATTGAGGGTTATAGGGACCCCCAGCATTGCAGATTCGCCACACAGTCCCCCACAGCTCCTCCACAGGCCCTAGCACCCCTCCCACACAGACCCCACCCAGGCCGCAGAGAGCCCCCAGAGACCCCACCCCCAGCAGACTTCCCCACAACCCCCCACAGACCCCCATACTCCCCAAGAGGCCCCCCATACACGCTCCAGATCGTCCACAGGCCCCACATAGGACCTCCACAGACTCCCTATAGGGTCGTCATAGAACCCTCACACCCCACATAGGAACCTCGCCCTCCCAAAGCATCCATATACCCTCTACAGCTCCACACAGCCCCCCTCCACTCCCCATAGCCCTCCCCCCGACCCCAGAGTTGCCCCATAGGACCCCTCCCCAGACACCTCTCAGACCCCCCCAAAGCCCCTCCACCCCTTCTGACAATCCCCGAGCCCCTCAAGGCCCCCCATACCCCCAGTCCCCACCGGCGTCGCAGCTGTCTCGCGGCGCCTCCGCGGAGCCACTTCCGCTTCCGGTCCCCATAGGCGGCGCCATCTTGGCCCGTGTCACGTGACACAGGGCACCACCTCCCCCCACACGCACACTCTCCCCCCCAGGTGTCCATAGAGACCCCCAGAGACGCCAGAGGGAGTAATGGAGACATCCCCCAAAGGGACTCCCGCAGACAACCCACGTGGGATTATGGAGACACCCAAGTACCCCACAGAGAACCCTCCCATAGGGGGCTTTCGGCATCCCCAGAGAAACCCCCTCAGACACACCACGGGGGGTTTGTGGGGACCCCCGCCCCCAGAGACCTCGTGCAAAGACCCTCGAGCAAATCCACTGTTCAAAACCCCTCCGTGAAAGCCCCTGGGCAAACCCCCCTTGGGACCCATCCTCCCCAGCACGCCGCCGTGCAATTACCCCGGACCCCTCTCGCACTCCCCCGTGAAACCCCCCCCCCCGATCGCCCCTCACTCACCTCCGCTGCGGGGGTCTCTGCTGGGGCGCGGAGGGGGCCGGATCCCCCTCACTTGATACTTAGGCGGGGCCGGAGGGGGGCGCGGCGCGGGGGGGGGC